TATTTATACAAGGTGCTCCGTTATCAACATTAAGATATATTTTTAGAATTTGTTTAAGAAATGTAGTTGCAAATTGATATTTAGCTAGAAAAAAGAAACATGATTTTAAAATCTGATCAAACACTGTTGAGAAAGGAAAGTTTAAACACATCAAAACCAGTTTAGTTACATGAAAGAGAAAAAAAATGGTAATAAGAAGATGGCTATTTGAAACGTCACCAAATTTTAACTCCCATTTTACCTGGTTTTGATAACATTTTGCACTTAAAAACAATTAATGAATTCCAGTAGGACCAACGGCATGATGGTGAACATATTAACTCACCGGGCACTAACCACCTTAATTTCCTAGACAAGTTAGTACTCATCAATCTTATTTTGCTTGGGCTACAAACCGCAACCGGAAATAGAACCCCAGTTCCATACAGTGACAGGTATTAAGTACTTTAATCCCTGCGTCATTCAACTTTCCTCCCCAAATAATGATTTTGAAAAGATTTTTTTAACTTCACTTAAATACTAATTTCCAACACCACATGTGTATACTTTTTAAGCATCATTTACAACAAGGATTCTAAAAATATATATTAAAGGTTATAAACAAAGCTACGCCATGTATAAGAACAAAAAGAAATTAGAAAGCTGATTTAGATTATTCAATCCCACTTATAAAAATCTATATTTATTTCAATTCCATCAATTGGGGAATATTTTTATTCCAAATATCTAAAAAACATTCGAATCTGATAGAACCTGACTCGAGGGAGAACATCTTAATGCATCTCATTGTACAAATCGATGTCATTTTGTGAAGGGAAAAAGAAAAAAAAATCTGGAACATCCAGGGAATCGTCAGTAATTACTTGTTTTGGCCTTCACCTGCTTCTGGCCATCAGAGCCTTCCTCCAGAGTACACCCTCCAAACCTCGGGGAGCAAAAACCCTTATTAAACGAAATGCCCCCTCGGGGATTTCTGGCCACATCCCTTCCCACTACCCACACCTTTGGAATGACTCTGCCTTCCTGAATCGTGCAAGAAAACCTTCTTCTAAAGAAGAAGGGGCAAGAGGGAGTCGGATATTTACGTTCTTTTTGCATCACAATTTAGTGGTACAATCTTAAGAGCTATGCAATTTGTTTTGCTGAATTTATCTGGACAATGAAAAAAGTTGTTCTATACTAATGGACTTTGAAGTAAAAGATTTTGCAGGCGTTAATTTTTTGCAAAGTGTTAAAAGAAGATTTATTTATATGGAATTTACAAACGTGGAATTTTTTTAAATTGATTTGTAAATTTTTAATGACAAGCAAAATTCTTATCTTTGATTAAAATACTTTCTGAGGAGTCACAGTCACTTTATGTATGACTCACATATAAAGTGACTGCGGTAGAGCCTTACAGCCTTAAGAGCCACCAATTATTTTGCTGAACGGCCTTACTTTTTATGCCTGTTACCGGGTATAGCCTTAAGAGCAGCGCAATTAGTTTTGCTGAATTTATCAGGACAATGAAAAGAGTTGTTGTATACAAGAAGGATTTTGAAATAAAAGATAATGCAGGAGTTAATTATTTTTTGCAAAGTGATAAAAAAAAGAATTAAAAAAAAGGAATAAAAAAATAAAAAAATTGTCCATTATTAAGAAAACGCAATTGTAATTAGTTCTTTTATATATATATATATATTTTTTTTGTTTTCATTNTTACTGACCTGGATTGTTTTTTTAATTGATTTGTAAATGAAAAACCAAAACTCATATATTTGATTAAAATATTTTCTGAGGACTCACAGTTACTTTATGTATGGTTCATACAACAAGATAGAACAATTTTAAAATCAAAAAAATTACCTATACAAATTTTAAATATTCATACAAATACAAAAGTTCCTTTACGAAAGTAATATATTTTTAAAATTTACAATCGCGATATATTTTTAATTTTATTTCCAAGCTCACTTTTCCCAAAGTAAGCAAAACTCACTTTTCTTTTCGTAATTTTTCTTTTCTTTTTTTTCTTTATAGTTCTGTAGGCAAGATTTCCCATTAAATTGATTTACATCTTTTTAAGGACAAGCTAAACCTCATATCTCAATTTAAAAAATATTTTTAAGTGACTCGGAGTTTCTTTATACGTCACAAGATGTTACTGTTGCAAATTTCAAAGTTCATTTATATCAGACCAATTTTAGCAAGGTTTTTCTTTTCTTAAAGTATTCAGGAAAATTTCAATGCAAGGTTTAAATGCTCATACAAAATATTATCCTTAATTGAAAAACTAGTATTATTCGCGCTGTTACGCTTTCTAAGCATAATAAATAAATAAATAAGCTCGAAGAACGGAAGAAAGAAGAGATAGACACAGCATTGAAAGAATGTGTAGAAGGCGTGCCTTCATACATGTTTTTTTTTAAAGCATAATTATTGTTTAGTTTCTGAAAGTTTTACAATTGTATGTTATTTATTTCAATAACTTATTGACGAAAACTTTTCATTTTTCAAAGAGAAATTAGTTTTAAAATTTTTTAATAATGAATTTAAATTCTTAAAATTTTTCTGTAGAATACATTTAAAATGGGCTAACTTAGTACTGAGCGAAGTAAGGATGCTTATCAAAGCGAGACATATATTTTATTTTATAACCGTCGTTGAACAGCTGACCCAATTTCATGGGTTTACGACTACTTGCGTTCAACTCCGTAGCCTTGTAATTTTGAACCAATCCAGAAGACAAGGAAGCTCCTGGATCAGTACCCCCAGAGGTATTGATTTGTTGTGGGAACATGGAAAGCGAGACATATAAGATTGTATAACAATCATAGGGGTATGTGGGGCGTAAGTTAACCCCTTCCATCTCGCTACCGTGAAAATGACGGAGTGAGATTTCGCCCGCGATTTCTCGCTCCCGTGATATTGACGGGCTGAAGTGTTCAGTAGTAACACGCCAATAAGAATAAAACTAATTCATTTCTTTTGCCCGGAAAACATTTTATTTCTCATTTTACACACTTGATGGCTGTACCAGGATATTTTTTTAGTAATTGTAGATAGTTTATTTTAAACTAGTTGCAGCACTAATCAAATACGCAATACAAATACAAAAGCCAAAAATAGGCACTTTTATGACCGTTTACTTGAAAATTAACCGATCGTTAAGGCGATAACAGGGGGTGAAGCATACTATTATATACTATAATAATTAAAAAATATACATATATGCACTATGATAAGATCTAATTAAAATTACTGTGCACTGTTTTATTCAAAAACATGAATCTATTTAATATTTAGATTCTATATATTCATTTTCTAAATCGAGTCCTTTGTAATTTTATAACCACCCCACCAAAATTGAGGGTTCAATAAAACAAACAAATAAAATAAATGTAGAAAGGTTTATCAGGAAAAAGGGTAGGTGTTCGGGTGAAGAGGACGAACGAATAATTCTGTACCCCTTTTTTAGCTCCCACGGGTGTCGACCTAATAAACATATCTCGGGGTAAAATGAACGGGTGGCGGCTAGGGATGCGTTACTATGGCGACCGAACCTCTTTTGCATCCATGTAAATTACAAACTCGACAATTGGCACCATCGCCTTGGCGACGAAATTTTTTTACTTCTTATGGCTTTTCTGTCCCCAGGCACTAAACGATAAAATCCCTAAATTTTGGGGACTTTTTCCCTACAATCTGTCTGGAATGTGACGGCGATAGTCTAAATAACAACACAGTCCAACACAGGAGACTTCGATTTTCAGAATTGTTATTCTAAACTAATTTTTCGGATTGTCACTACTAACTTGAAAGTAATTATTTAAGTATTGGAAACAATGTTTATTTGGTAATTCGTACGGCAATTTAATTTAGACTTTTGCAAGTGAATCGTTTATTGATTTTCTTTAAAATGCCGGAAACTACCAGGTATTTTAGAAGTAACTGTTTTTAAAGGCTGTAATTAACAGTAATTGAGAATAACTAAAAATAAGATACGGGAAAATAAACTAGAAAAGGGGATAATAAAGTAGGGAAAAGTTTGTGTTATCATTAACGGACTTTTTTCCCTTCTGTTCTTTTTTTAACTTAGTAATTTTACATTTTATTGGTACATCTAAAATCGCTTTCACAAAGAAAATTTAAGTAGTTGATAATGTGAGCAATTATAAACTATAATTTGCAAAGATTTAGTTTAATTATTCCATTTCGCTATTTAATTTTGACAATTTTACCTCGTCAACACAATTTACATTAGCAATAAAATAACATATGCACGAGATGTTTTATTTTTAATGGTGATCATATAACAATGATCATATTATTCCAGCTATCGTAATTATGAAAATATCTGTTGTTGACTAACGTAATAATTTAAACAAACTATCTTTTTCTTCTATCAGAATTCAGTTTTTGATTATATCAAATTTGTTTAACTCAAATCATAATCATTCCATTAATATTTTATCAAAAATGTTAAATGTAATTTTTCTTCGTATTTAAGTTTATTATAAAATTTTTTATGCAGTTTGTTCCGAAGTGACCACCCTTAATGTATATTTTTAGAATCCTTCTCAAAAATGAAGTCAAAAGAGTATATCTATTAAGGTCGCAAATTAATATTTCAGCGAAGAAGAACAAAAAAAAAATCTAAATTTAGCTAAACCATTACTGAGAAAGTTCGAACCGTAAACATCAGAACTTATCGACTACCTGAAGAAACTTGTATTATAATTACAAATCTTTTCTTACAGCAATCAAGGGATTTATTGGATTTCGATTAAAACTTTTGTTTTTCCTAGCTTGAATATTATTTTTTGACCCCAAATGTGACAACTGTTTTTAAACTAGAATTCTGAAAATATACATATTAGAAAGTTACTACGGAACACCCGGTTTACAAAAGACTTCTATAGGAATTGAACCTGCGATAGCTTGAAGTTTAATGTATTATGCACATAATTTCTGGAAATAAATATTTTTTTAATGCTTTTTTTAAAATTGTAACTTACCTGTTGCACAGTCTTGATCCATATGTTCCAGCAATTCCGATATACTTTCGAACTGAAGCTTACATGTATCACAGATGTGAGATTCTTCAGTATTATCTCCATCTTCTAAAGAATGATGATCATCTGACACTAAAAAAAGGAAAAAATAACATTAAGAATATGGCATATGCAGCTCTTTATGACATTAAGGCGTTAAGTATTAAGTTATTAAACCTCAGTTTAATGGCACTTTAATTTTTAACAGCTCCCCTCCCCCCTTTTCAAGGTGAGATCAGTTAGCAGAAAGGTTTTGTTTTAAATTAAAGTGCCATAAAATTGGGGTTTAATTAAAGTGCCTAACAATGAAAATGAATAAAATGCACTCATGAACATAACAATTATTAAATCACTGTACATATTACATGTATATATTACATATTACATCCTAAATATTTCCAGCAATTGAATGTATTATGTATTAATTACTGAACACATAACAAAGATTAGGAAAGTTATACGTTTAAATCTGAAACTCATTGTACTGTTTTTTTTTATTTATTATTATTATTATTTTTTTTTACCACGAAGTCGAAAATTAAAAAATGAATAAAAAAAGGTCTTTGTCTTTAAAAATATAAATAATTAAAACTGCAATTTGCAAAAAAAAAAAAAAATTTGATTATTGTATTGTTTTTTTAAGATTTAAAGCTAACTAAAAAGATGAGAAATTTCTGCTTGCTTAAATATGTGTTTATTGAAGTGAATTAGTTTATTCGGGGAAGCGCTTACTCCTTAATTCTTTTTTCTATTGAAGTTAAACTCCTTAATTCTTTTTTCCTATTTCTTGTTTTCAATTGCCTGATATTTTATTACAAATTTTAAATACTTCTACATCTCTGATTTCAAATTCAAGTTCCTCTCTTAAAGCTACAGGTCTTTTTCAAGCGAATTTTTAGCCTATTTTTCGTCGAAATGTACAGGCTTTAAAACGTTATATACTTATATAACTAGGGTAAATATTGTGAAAAACTTCTGGTGGAGTTAGGGCCCATTATCAGAATTAAAATTTCGTAAGAAATCAAGTATTTGCATAAATGCAACAAAAAATTTGTCCAGAGTGTAATTTATAAAAGACGAAGAATTTACAAAAAAAGTTAGCGAAGTGTAGTTCTAAGTATTTTTTATCGAAAAGAGAAAAACTTAAAATATTATTAGTTATATACCTATATGCCATAAAGGCTATAATTTATTTTACACATTATCCAATTGACCTAATAAGTTTATTATCCTTAATACGTATTCTTAATTTGTACTTTCGCTTTATTTATCGCATTTTTAAATATCTCCTCCACTGATATTTACACAAAATCTTTTTGTTTTTTACTTTTTACTATGCTGAAAAATTGAAAGTGGCATGCATAATTTTATTTTTCCTTCATATAACGCTATTTTTAAGGTTGACCATTATTATGATAAGACAATATTACGTCTTGTATTTCAATATTATGTTTTGTATTGTATTTTAATGAAGTTTTTCTAAAATAATTACTCGTATTTTGCACACAATCTGTAATTTTGTATATTTATTTTCGTAAGTTCGTCTTGGTTTTTCCAATTTGGTAGAATTAGTTATATGCTACCAAGGGTTTATTGAATTAAGTATATTGTTAAATTAGCACTATTTTATTTAAATTGTATGTAACAAAACAGTTTTTTATATTAAATGAAAATTTGGAGCAGCAGCATTCTAGCGAACATTAATTAAACTATTGTTTTTAACAACAACAAAAAACCTTAACTTCTGCACTATGTAGGGTCATTCACTTTAGTTATTCAGAAACAATTACTCCATAGTTTTTCAACTATACACACGACTCCATTTAAGAACAATATTAATGAACTAACTCGCATCTACAACCATTATTTACTAAAAATTTTAATTATTGCTCGCTTCACTGTTTTAAACAATTACTTATCGGTGTCGTGTGCAATTTTCACAAAAACTCGCATGAAGAAACAATGAATTTTGTGCCCTTCCTCGTGAACCACCAGAGAGAAAAACGAAAAAAAATCGCACCAGTTCGATTCTTTCCCGTAAATAATAAAAAACGGCCAATAAGGAAGCGCTTCAGTAGCTTGCGCGCGCATGGTAGAGTTATTACTGCCTGGAAACGGAGAATCGGAAGACTGATTAAAAAGACGCCAAAACCTGTGAAATTCATTCCAAGGTTCGTGACAGATTCATTAAGGCGTTTAGATAACATCTCCAGGGGAAAAAGGAAGAGGGTTTTGTTCAAGCACCCTACCACATCTTATACGGCTATCAGCGCTAAACAATAGGATGATTCGTCTTGTTCAACTCGTTGCTTTGGAGTAAATAATGGATATAACAACACGCCTTTATGTTTTATGATTATCATTTGTGACTAATACTTTTTTTTTATTCTTAAAACCATCTTTGATTTTTTGATTTCCCCTAAAGCTGATATTGTGTAGACTCAAAGCATGATTATTTTAATAATTGACTGCCTATCATTTTAATTGTCTATATTTTAGACAAAAAAATTAGAAGTTTGAAGATAAAAAGTCGAAATGATGGAATGCGGTAATTAATTGCGCGATTAAATTTTAATTTGGTTAAAATATTCAACAATTATTTATGTTTTCATTTTTTCAGAAATGCAATTAATCAAATTTAAAAAAAACTCGATTCGGTAGAGGATAGAGAATTTGAATTTTTGATTTTAAAAAAAAGATTAAAAAAATTGTCTTTGAAGTCGCATCTTCCAAGATATATGATTAGAAGGTTCAAAGGCTGTGATATTTATGTGTGAGTTATAGAACGAAGCAATGTAAATTCCGTGATAAATGAATCCTTGAAATTCGTTCATTATTTTCCAGCAACTTTTCAATTTTTAAAACCTTCGAGTTAAAATTTTTACTTTCTCTGATTATACAGATACTTTACTGTTTCTAAAAATACTAATATTTCGAACATTCTACTTAAAAAAAAAATAAAGCACTTCATCAAGACTGATAATTACATAGCAACCTACGACCGGAATGTTATTGTACGGCACTAGGTGGTATTCTAAATCCGACTACTATTATGCTCCTGTGAATTAACAGTATTGCGTAGGATAAATACAGAAAGATAATTACAATAGTATGCGTGCGAGTCTTACGGGATAGAGCTCTCGCCTCCTAATGAAGTGAACCGGGTTCGAATCCCTGCGATGGCTGATTGATGCGAATACCTCACCCGGCTCGCATCAGCCACACTGCTGACGTAAAATATCCTCAATGGTTGGCGAAACGTGGGATAAAGTCCCCTTTCCATCATGCTAACCGAGGGGGATTTTCGTGGTTTTCTTCTTCATGTAACGCAAACGTGGGTTAGTTCCATTAAGAAGTTCTTCACGAAGGCAAATTTCCCCCAATACTTGATCCAGGAGTTCCCGTGTCTTCTAGATTAAGCTCAAACTTACAAGGCTACGGAGTTGAACATTGGCAGCTCTAAACCTAGAATTGGGTCAGCTGTTCAACTAAGGTTATAAAATAGTATACGGGTAGCTGCATTGCGGTTCCGGTCATGGGTTATCATGTAATACTCATAATGCACCATTTACCTGCTTTAAAAGTTTGTCGAAAAATTGTTTAAATACTTTCCATAACCGATGCAATCAATAATAATCAGCAAGCAAGTATAGAACAAGTATAGAATTTTACATTAAGTTAAATTTACCGTAAAAAATTTTAACATATGAAGTAGATTCTTCTGTACCATGCGAGATGTTTATAAATTTAATATAATTAAGCGTAGCATTCATTTTATAAATGCAAAATGCCCCAAGCGGTCACCAATAACCCATTAATGTAGCTCTATTGTGATGCCAATAACTAAACCAATAAATACAGAATATTTTTCCCTTTATTAAACTAAATTTATAAAATACCCCATTGAAATATATTTTCAAACTCAACTTCATCTCCATCGTTAATCACCCCGAAATTCTAGAGCTTATAAATTACACTGTAACCGTAACGAATAGCTTAAATATGCACGCTTGCTGCCAGATTAGCCAGCATACATCAATAACAAATCATGCCATCCAAAGAGAATTTAACGTCTCAACTGGATCTAGCAGATACGATTACACGATCAATAAGGTATCCAGTTTAATAATTCTATGCACTGTTGACCGAGAGCTGACCTTACCCAATCAGGGGTGGCTGGAAAACTAGATTCCCATGGGCGCTGGGCTCCCCATTCATCACCCGCAAACTGTCCGAAATCTCCCATGCGACGTCATGGACTTCTGAGTGACGATCACAAAGGGATCTGAAACTCCATAAAGAAGAAGGTTTTTCCGGGATCCTACGGGATTGGAGAACCTCAAGGGTTACGGTATTGACTTAATGATAGAAAAAAAATGGAGTTTCATACTAAGCAGAGTAGGAAAGTTTCTAGAAGATACGTGACAGATTCTTGTGTCAGATTCTTATATATATTTTTTGTTGCGATCTATGTAACTGTAATTGATACAAGTATTCGTTTTATAGTTTATTTTACAAACAACTTTTATTGTTTAAAAGAATAATTTGAATAATAGAATAGTTGAAGGTTTCAACTGTAGATTCGAATGATAGAGGGGACATCAACATATAATAGTGGCAGGAACTAAAACACGTCGAATATAAAATTATTAGTGCTTATTAAACTAAAACATAGTATAAACATATCACAACTAAATTTAAAATATAACATGAAAACACCATAACCTATAACGCACTCCCAAATATTCAAAATGACAACGTTTGGCCTAAATTCGGGAACATGTTATGGGCGTTTATATCTATGGTCTCAACTCATCTATTGATATTTTGTTCCATTCTTCCTTTAGGATATCAACATCCTTTACATCCAAGTTGGACTAAATGCTAAAATCTATTAGATTCAAGTTTGTCGAATAAAGCGGCTTTCTTGTGCTACAAAAAAAGGCAGGAAAATGTGCATTGCACTATTAGTATATGTCTTTACCTATGTGTGTAAGGATATAAATCATACTGTAAGGTTAACTTTTAATTTATATGGTGCTTTTGTCTCCGAGGAGGCATAGCGGCTTCCAAAATATGTTTCGAACGTTCTA